GTGGATACTTTGTTTCGAAGGTCGTATTCATGTGTGTCTCGGGCAAGAGCTATATTACATGTGTAATAAGTAAGGTTTTTGAGTAGTTTGAGATAAAGAATCGAATCGGACCTTAGCCATCCTTACCAAAGTGGCTCTAGTCCTAAGTTTTGGCAACGGGAGCTGTATTCTATGAGTGAGTCGTTCCTAAGTATTCTACGAGTAAAATCCTGTTGTATTCCTTCCGCCTTAAGTATATCGGATAGGCATGGATTGAAAAACAGGAACGAGCAGTATTCAACGATAGGTCTCACACAAGCTTTATAAAGAGTGATTTTACATTTATTTTGAAAGAAATTACGGAGAATAAGTCCAAGCAATTTCCGCATTTTGATGCTTTAGTTGAGACATGTTCAGAGAAATTAAGACTGTGTGAGTCACGAACCTATGGTATTGATGCTGATTTATCATGCAAAATACCTTAATAAATCGTGTTTAGGACGTTGAATTGGTTTCACTTCCTACCCAGTAATCTCATTACAAGTAAAGTAGACAGCTTAGATACTAAGGCTACTAAAGACCCTATAAAATCTAAAATATGCTCTAATAGCTTCGACAAAAAGAGGAGACTGCCAATTGTGCATCATAATACTGTTTTTAGCACTATATTTTATAACTGCACATAATCCCATATTCTCAGCTCCTTTTCTGAACCACATCTGCTTGTCAGCTGTTTATCCACTCATACGTTGTTCACACTTATTTTCTTTAACCCATTGGAATGCTCTTGCCCAATTAATACATCAATGAAAGAGAATTAGACTGAGTAGTCATACCTTAAATGTTCCTTCATGAACATTGTCTGCTATGCCTGGCGTCCTTTCTTTTACTCGCTCCCTTTTTCGGCACCCTTGAGATATGGAACGGGTGACTTCATCCTGCAACATCCTTAAAGCCTCAGATATTCGAAGGGATATAAGGTTGCGATTTCTAGAAGCTCCCACCTTTAGTGGATCTATTCTCGACCATCAGCTGCACGTCGCCTACGAAATATATCTTGGAACCTTCTCGCTTCTGACTTTTGATTTCACCAGGTGAGCACGATTCATAATAGCTGTTACTGGTTAAATGGTTGTCAAACTGCAAATACTCATTGCGTCTTTAAGACATACTGAATCTCTGAGGCCATTCGGAATCTTTGTCTCGGGAGAAAAACTATGAGTGTCCTTGATTTATTCATCACTGAGAACGTTGAAACTGTTGTTTCAGAAGATCCTGTGGCAGGTTGAGAAACAGTATTTTCTGGTTTCTGAAACTTCATAAATGTGTATGTAGTATTACTTTTAGACAGGAACTTCATGTATTTATGTAATTCTGGTCTAATTCGGTATTAGTATACTTATCTACGCTACCAGAATGATAGAGCTGTCTCAGAATTTTTCACTTTCCATGATGTGACTGCCTGATCAGTCAGACCTTACGTGAGAGTTACATCACTATCTATACCAACTTGTCATTTCATGACAGTCAGTGTTTGCTGCTAAGGATTTCTACAGAATACACTTGTGTTGAAAAAATAGCATATTTAGTATGAAAAGTGAGAGGTTTCACGACCACGACCGAATAGTTCAGCCTTGCCCTCTCGATTACTCTTTCCCACTTTCACAGTCTTTGATAGGTTTAACTAGCATATGATTATGGGAGAACTTATTATCGGGGAGTCTGGGTTTAATTGTTGCGCCACTAGATGTGGGGATCAAACCAAAAGTGTTGCTAGGACCAAAAATGAAACAATTCAACCTCTAAAGCCAAACGATATAAGAAAAAAGTTCAGAGAAAGTTATATAACAAATTCACAAGATACACTTAATGGCACTGGACCATGACCACACGATCTTGGAAGATGAGGACATAGGAATTGAGAGGATATACATTCGACATTCAATACCAAGAGGATCTTACTCTGAGTGCACAGCTATGGATTTTCTGGCCTCTGGAACAAACTGGACGTACGTGTTTTTCCGAAGGTCATGGTTCACGCCAAGGGCTGTACAAGTCTACTTTACAACAATTATAAACTCAAAACGTTGCACTGCTTAAATACTATATCTGAAGGAATGAACTGGTATTCACTTTTATATACTATATTTACTTAACATGTATACTGTAAAACAATAAATGTTGTAATTTGTAGATCATGCCTGTAAAAATGGGGGATATGACCTGACTTCAAAGTTGGGCGGATAACGACCGACTTTATTTTTGGCACTTAGACGTATAGAGTATTCCATCCGAGGCCTGTTTCAGATGACACATACAACTTACGCAACTCCCCTTAGAGATATCCGAAGTTGAAAAAGATCTAGAAGTTCTAGTACTCTACGATCTAAAGCCTCGCGTTAACCGCGACAAAAGTGCCTCTCGGGCAAACCTTGGATTGGTAATGTAGAAACTCATTTTCGATCAGTTAGACTGTCGAACTTTCCATTTGGTCTAAACAGTTTTGCTCAGTCGCATGTAGAGTTTGAAAATAGTGTTGCCTCCCTCTCTATGAAAGGGTAAGAGTACACTGGGACGTAACCAATGCCGAGCCACGAAATCAGTCTGAAGATCCAAATTAAAAGGTTACGAAGAGCACCTCGAATCTCTGAATCTTTACCCATTCGTTTGTAGGCATCTCAGTGGTGACCTTAAAACGAGTTATAGCATTCTAATCACTCTTGCACACCCCCTCAAACACACCCATAAGTTCGGTCTCAACACAAATCTTAGGGTGACACCCAGAAATTAGAGGCACAACACGATATGATGAACTGTAAGCATACCATCTACTCCTTAAGAATAGAATTCCCTGCTGGCTGAGCGAGTGCGATTGACGTCCTAGTAGCACTTTAAGAAAAAACTTGGTATATTCCTTTTTTTGAATGAGATCATGAATCAATTAATGTTAGACCACTGTTGGAAAACTGAAAGCACTGGACGGCCGATTCGTCCTAGTATGGGACTCCCTAGCAGTGCGCAACCACGATCCTGATCCCAGCGAGATTCGAACCCAGGACCTATCGGTCTCGCGCCAGGCTCATAACCAACTGGACCACTGAGCCGGCATCCAATGGTGTTAGTGTCTAACATCAACCCATCAACGAAATCGCGCGACCAACTTCCATTGTACTGAGGTAGATACCCGTCTCTACCCAACACCGATTAGCTCCACTGATCACGGCTTCTCACTAGAACTACGAGAATTCCTTCACGAAGCTAGTCACGAGTGAGCACATATTAATTATCAGTATAGGGGTTATGGGGATTGTTAAGCTTTTTTACTGAGATCATGAATTAATCAATGTTAGACCACCACCTACGAACTGAGGACATTATCTCACTATAGTTTACTAACATTTATTTTATTATTGTGATATATATGTAGGTTCAAACCTGGGGTCACGGTGATCCACTGCAGCTAGATAAGAGGTCATTTGCTTTCGGTATAAAAAGTAAAGAGCCTAAAACAGAACCTTGCTCCACTCCACTGAAAACTGGCATCCGGGTGGAGCACTTCGAATTTACATTTACTTTCTATCTACGACATACTAAGAAATCCATAAGCAATTTTGAAAGTCCGGCAATGCCAAGATTTTCAAGCATCAATAGCAGTCCATGTCAAATGCCTTATTGAAGTCTCTGTGACAACATCCAATGATTTTCCATTGTCTAGAACCTTGATCCAATGCTCCCTTGCTATAGAGAAATGTGCAGTGCAAGATAAACATTTTTTTGAGCAATGTTGCCTGCTCTTTAACAAGTTGTTGATTCCCACGAATGTTAGTATGGTCTTTTTGATAACTATTCTCAGTATTTTAACCACGACATACCTTGGTCAAGCGACATATTGAATATCACAATCAGTGGGACTGCAATATACTGTGCAATGTTTCTCAGGATTTTGGGGTGTAGTTCATCCGGTCCTGTTGACTCGACGTATCTGAGGTGCTAAGAGCTTTGAGTACATTGTCTTGAACAAAGTCAACGGTGGGCAGACGGTTTGTTGACTTTGTATGTGGGTCTAGTTCTTTGTCTACAAGAGGCCTCTGTGTTAAAACTTTCCCGAATTATTTTGACATAGCTTTTGTTTTTCCTATTCATCCTCTGTCGTTTCAGATTCACTCTCTTCCTTAGTTAGGTTGTCTATCCGATGCTGCATCCTTTTTCTGCAATTTACGTACGAGAATAGTCTCTTAAACTGCTTAATTGTAGATTGTGCCAACTGCATTTCATATTTTCTCAGAGCCCCTCTGATTTTAATTACACACTTATTCCTTATCGACTTGTAGCCTTCCATAGTACTTGCTGTGCCAAGGCTGAAGGCAACGTTCCAGCATTTCTCCTTTTGTCCTAGTGAAATTCGAATACCCGGTCTATCCAGGGATGGCCATACTTCTTGTTCTTTGGGACTGTCTAGGGTATATACGGTCGAGTTGCCCGTTTGTATAACAGTCTGAAATGAGTCCATACCTCATTCACTAATGCCCATTAGTCAATTATCCAGTTTTCAGCCGATGCTGCAGAGTTTAGCGCTTCCATTTCTGACTTCCATATGTGGGGACGGGCCGGTGCAACTGTTTGGCAGGCCATCTCAGCCATGAACTTGAATGAAATGGACGCATGATCACTCCACCTTAGGGGTGGTAGGAAAGTCATTTGACCAACATCATCATCGTGTGTGAAGACTAAGTCCAAAAGAGACGAGAAGCTCCGCAATTCATATCTAGTGGAACTTCAATATGCTGTAATAAAGCTAGTGCAATTGTGGTTTTTAACAGTTTGCAATCAATGACGTTGTTGATGAACCTACTTCTATGTTACCTTTGCAGGCACTAACGAAGTTGACTCTGAGTGTTACCTCGATTGTTCGACCATTAATTTCTTTCAACAATCAAATTTCTAGGACTATTTGGTTTGGATTTTGCAAGTGACTCAATTTGTTCTTTGAAGCTTCTAATTGTTTAAACTGTCGACGAAGTCTTTACAAAGTATTTATAACATATCGTGCGCATTTGATGTTGCAATTGAGATCAATAAGAGTCTCTCTTCGTTCTGATTGTCAGTTTCTTGTAAGCTACCTGACTGAAAGTTTCATTTGGTTTTTAATATATGTCTGTCATTTTTCATTCGGGAATTCGAAACGGTCTTGATAACCAAACTGTGTAAAACTTCCATGATTGAAAAATAGTGATCTGAAGCTCTTTTTATCTTTCGATGTAAATCATCACTAGAAGTTTCAGAACTTTGCATTTAATGCATAAACCTTGTACAATTTCTGAAACGATCTTTCACTTCACTTGAAAAAGCTTTCGAAATTTCAGGTCATTTAGGTGCTAGCCAATCTTCATTGAGGTATGCAATGTTTGTATTTGAAAATAATAGTGTAGGAGAGTAACCAAATGCCCGATATGCAGTGAAGACTTCTTCCCGTTTTATCGGGTTTCTAATATATGTCTGTCATTTTTCATTCAGGAATTCAAAACGGTCTTGATCACCAAACTATGTGTACAATTTCCATTTAGTTGTGCCTAAAGGTTCATAATTATTTGACGAACTGAGTTTTTTGAGACTTGGGTCGACTTACTGAAAATCCAGAACAACAGGATACTCCTTTTAATCGAGAGATATTTTCGACAACCATAATCCCGAAATTGTTCGGCAAAATGTCTGTCGAGATAAAAATATATTAAATATATATTGGCAGAACTGTGTTTTATTTCGAAAAATATAGTCAGCCCAAACTTAGCAGTATTTCCTCACCTTTTGTATTTGAGAACTGTACAAACGTTAGTGTAACTAACTGAATTAAAAGAGCGGTTGTTTTGGGGAAAACCACCGATTGGTCTAAACTGAGATCTCTTAAGGTAATTTCATTGTATTACAAATCACATGTAACTTCTCATTCATATTTTTCCTAAATGTCAAAGTTTATGACTGAAGATATGATGGCTGAACATTCGAACCTAAGTATTTGCCTTAATTTTTACTGACCTGATGTCATAATACCTCTATCGTCTTCGATTCCATCTCACTTGTATGGTTGGGTTGTTCAAAATCAAGGTGGAAATAGTTCTCACTTTTTGACGAATTCTGACGAGTTTAAAGCTAATTTAATCTTAATTCGTGAAAGATAAATCTCTGAAAGACATACGATTGGAGTCAAACATATTTTATGACTTGCGTTATTTTATTTAAAGTCGTTTGGCCACTTTGTACTACTGCAAGTGCAAATTATAATGTATTTTATATTGTAGTGGCATGTCAGAAAACAAGAAGTTGGATGATGACGTCACCGTTGTCGTAGATAAACCAGATTATGTAAAACTGAAGCGATCTATTGGTATTGTAACCAGTATCACCATCTTAGTAGGATCAATGATTGGCTCAGGAATATTTGTCAGTCCTACTGGTATTTTGAGGAACGTTAGAAGCATAGGAGCTACTCTTATCATATGGGTTGCGTGTGGGATCTTCAGTATGCTCGGAGCGTACTGTTATGCAGAACTTGGCACGATAATAGAGCGATCCGGAGGGGATTATATTTATGTATATGAAGCATTTGGACCATTTATTGGATTTTTGCGTTTGTGGATGGAAGTAATGGTCGTAAGACCTGCAACTGTCGCTATTGTGGCTTTAGCATTTGGGGAGTATGTTGTTGTACCTTTGTATCCAAACTGTCTGCTTCCCATTATGTTGGTCAGGATTTTGGCGGTTTTATGTATTAGTATGTTTAAAAATATTTTCCTACAGCGTTTTTTCCATTTTATTAATTAAGATGTGCTCAATTATATACTGAACCAACATTAACTCGTATGCGCTCTTATGGATAAAATGCACTGTTTGTATTTTTGATAAGCGAAGAATGAAGGCAGTTCTTTAGATGGAGATACTCGACAAAGGTCTAGACAAAATGCAATTTTATAACATAAAAATGACAAACACTGCTTGGTGGGAGTATAACAGTGCTGATAAACATAAAGCACTAGTAAGCAGCTACTTCGTTCCTTGAAATGGATGACCTGAATCATTCCATCAAAATTCGTTTGTTCTTTAAATTTGAATAGAGTATAATAACATTTGGGAAAAATACCATAAATCCTGATTGTTTTCGACATTCCCGCCAAATGTATATGATCTGTGGGGATTTTGACGCAAAGCATGTACGACAGAAGAATGATGAATGAGATTAGTGGTGGACTAAAACCAGTAAAATTAAATAAAAGTTGTTTGAGTGATTAGTGATAAGTGCCGAAAGTGTCAAAATGTGAATAAACGAAATACGAATCAGAAAGTGAAAAACTGACGACAGTTAAATTATGAGTTCTGAGTGAATAAAGGAAAACTGAGAAGTGTTAATTTCTGGTGACTGTGTGCCTTCAATCGTAAATTATGCTTTTAACAGACTTGCAAAATGACAATGATTTAATCATAATTAATGCCAGATGAATTCAAATGTATTACATCAGTAAACATTCTGTTTATTTTTTGACACTAAATATTTTGATTAGTTGGCTTATAGATCTCAATACTACTGGTAGTTAATAATCTGTAACTTCAGTAAACTTTTTGGAATAAATAATATATTCTAGTCATTGTTTACATAGTAAACGGTTCGTTTATTATCTAATTACTTGTCAAACTAAAAGTATAAATGGAATCGATTGGATACTGGAAGAAGTTCACTTAAAAGAAGGTTGCAAAGTTTGCTATTTTCACTATTACTGATGATTTTACATCTGAAAATGTTTAAAACGATCACACTGATGATATTTTAATGGACATTTCCTAATTTATCGTCATCTTGTTCCATTTTGCTTAGCATTTTTAAGCTTCGCCAATTCCTTTTCAATCAAATTTTCAACCAGAATACAAGACATATTTACATTTGCGAAACTTGCCGCTCTTGCAATGATCATAGTAACCGGATTTGTACAGATCGGATTTGGTAAATTAATTATATCATTATTTAAAATTATTTTAATTACTTTTTGTTATCTATAATAATTACAGTCGGTTTTGTTTTGTGATTTTTGTTGAACTATGTGTGGTTCAATCTTGATATGAAGATTTTATTAATGTGCATCATTCAGGAGTTTCTCATTTCAGATGAAGTGGTTGTTTAGTCTAAAATAAATGGCAACAAGTATGTTAAGCTGGTCTAAAATAAGAATGATATTTTGTTTACAGAATAGTAAGTGTTGTATAAAGGTTTTCCATGAATAAAACTGTACGACTGTATGTGATAAAACGCACTTTGATGAGTTTAAAAATTCGCAATATTTCTCATCAAGCTTGAGAACAATAATCTTTCCTGTCTTTTGTCAAGAATACACATAATTAATTGATTGATTGAATATGTCTTACATTAAACGTTGTTTCAATGCAACAACCTTTGAACATTTCATTTCTGTTATCGCTCTTTGATTATATGACTTTTCTAATGACATGTCAGATTACTTTTATTTTTTCAAAGATTTCAATCTGAATAGAGTGATTCTTCAATAAATCGTGAATGTGTAGTGATCCTTCGTCCTACTTATGTCTGTTATCCTTCGGGGAGCATAGGCCACTGACTATTATTCTCCTGTTCTGTATTCTCCTTTGCAGCTATTTCCAATTACTGTGAGCGATTCACTGCGATTTATCTCTTCTACGCAATTGATTACGATTTATCATCTCTATGTGTTTGTGATTGTAATCACTCTTTATGCCTTGATATATTTATATAGTTAGTAAATTCATTTAGGTATCTCGCATTGTACTTTATTACTTAACTTCTTTTAGGTCGTTATGAAGGGCTGAAAGAACCTTTCGTCGAATCAAACTGGAGTCCTGGTAAAATAGCTAATGCATTTTACAGTGGTTTATTTGCTTATGGTGGCTGGAATAACTTAAACTGTATGGTTGAAGAAATGAAGAACCCCAGGAAACATTTGCCCATAGCAATTGTGGTATCGTGCTTACTAGTGACTCTATTTTACACAGCTGCTAATGTAGCCTATGTGACCGTCGTACCAGTTGCAGAGATGTTGACCACAAGAGCTGTGGCTGTGGTAGGTGAAATAGTATTTTTACTGGTGTGTTGATGCTTTTGATCAATTTTTCTATAAGCCGAGAATATTAGTAATGTATTTTCTCCGTTCAAGATCACACCATCTTGGACAGTTCAATATCTTCTTTATTTTAGTTATTGTCTCGTGCAATACAATCGGGGTTTGTAGAGGTGCCTATTTAACAGACTTGATCGTATGTGTACAGATGACGCCATTGATGATGATGTTATGTTACTAAATAAAACAATAATGGAAACTGGGTATCCTCTGAAATTCATAAATAGATAGAAAGTTCATAGTACAGTGAGACCTACTATATCTTTGGCAGGGGAAATGCTTGTCTACATCGCCTTACCATTTAGAGGTGATTCAGATGGTCTTTTATTGAAACAAAGACTTAAATCAGTCATTAATAAGACATATTATGCAGCGAAGGTAGGTCATTACCAAGAAAACAACAAGGTTCATGCCCCATCAAAAACCTAGAAGAATACAAAACGATTGAGTCACATTCCACTGTGTTTACCAATTTAAATGTATTTGTGATCGCACACAAACATAAGAAGAAGTAATCGTGATCTCGAAATAAGGGTGTGTGAACATGTACTCAAATGGCTGGAGAAACAAATAGAATCAAATGACCCACTAAGAATAGAGGATTAACATCCATCATCCCTTATTGCCAAACTCATAATTGAAACAAGTCATGAGATTGATCTTAACTCGGCTTTTGTGGTGTTGTACAAAAGTGCAAATGGGTATACTAAGGTATACTAAGGTTTATTGAAGCCTTAGCTATACGAAAATTCGAATCCCCTCTGTGTATTCAAATACAGTTTGTTCTCACCATAAAATTACCCTGGTAATATTAGCTTATTGTCCAGAGTGATGAGGTTTCAAATTGTTTCCACATTATTCCGTTATTATTCCTCATTTCCTCTTACCCTCCATTTCTAGTCTATCTGACCTTTTATTTTTATATACAAATGTTTTTGATAAGTATGTGTGATCAGAAAGTTAGAAATGTATTGCGCTAAAATATCACATCGTTCTGATAATCTTCGTCTTCTAATTACGCTATCGAAATTACTGAATAAGTTGGATTTACTTTGAAACCATTTTTTCCGTTTACTTACAAAAACAGACATTTGCTAATAGAATATACGGAATGTTTTGGTGGATAATGCCAATATTTGTTGCTTGTTCAACGTTTGGGAGTGCTAACGGAACTATATTAACTACATCGAGAGTATTTGTTGCTGCTAGTCAGCGTAAGCAAATGCCACCGTTTATCAGTTACTTGCACACGGATCGATTAACACCTCTTCCGGCTGTTCTGTTCACTGTGAGTTCGTTGCATAACACTACTTTTGTCGAACATATATATATGTATAATAAAAAGTATTTGCACCCTTACAAATCAGTTGGTATATTTTAAATGTGAACTTTTGATGTCTAATTTGGAACAATATCAAATATGTTTAAACTGGTTGTAGGGTGACATTTAATGATCATAAGTTTGAAATTGTGTTTGGATATTCAGAAAAATATCCGAAAAATTATTTTGTGAAGTCTAACGCTATCCTTTGGACTTGAGATGGTATCATTTTCCTACTGGTCGATATTCTACAATGTTATTTTCTATTTTATGGTATGATGTGGTCTGCTTGATTGGTATATAAAAAGAGTATGTTTGAAATATAATGATTCATATCTCCGAGGCTGAGACTTGCGTTCTGGACTCAACTGGCTGGACTAGACAGGGAAGCGGGACCAATCATAACCCTAGGCCGTTCCTACGTGTTTGCGCGTCTTTGCTCCGATCGATAATTCGCTGTCCTCTAGTCTGCCGTCACAGCCATAGCAAATTGTAATTAGATTGTGGGTCATTTTGACAATAATGGCTTTGTAGTAATTGAAACACACCAAGACCAATGATTTTCATTCTACAGTTTCAAAGAAGACTACGAATGAAAACATAGTTTAGACAAACTTTAATTGGTGAAGATGAAATACAAGTTTGAAAAGAGACATGAAACCTTTGAAAATTAACTTCAAATCTACATGATAGATTGTCCCAAATCTTTATTTCTAATCATGTAATTGTGTATAGGGTTAAACGTTTTAGCTGATGAGGACTTTTAAAATAAAGTAATGAAATCATTTTAAACTTTAAACCTTACTGTTCCTGATCTGTTCAAAATTCAACTAAATAAGTATTGGTGGCTTTATGTAATATTATGTTTTTGGTACAATACAGAAATCTCAGCATGAAAGATCTTAACAAGTTTCCCTTTCTTATTTATTGATCGACCGTTGTGATAAATGTTGAGTATTTGCCAGTTATACGTTAGCAGTTCAGGACTCGACATGTGAATAGTCTACATTGTTTTCGATGCATATTGCTAGCAACCACGATGTCTCTGATTGAGCTCTTTTGTCACTTGTACAGCGAAATGTGGTAAACTTTTGACAAACATGCCTGAATTGGTTATGTGACTAATAGGCATAATGGTGTGTTACGACAAACAAAAAACAGAAAATTTGTTGAAATATCCAGATGTCAGAAACAGGTATCCTGGATATTCAAGCAGGCCGCCTACTTGATTTTTACTATAAATTGTGATTTACATGAATTACTATTGTTCAGTGTATGTATTGTGATTCTATTGCTTATTTTTAACTTTTACTGATTACTCTTTTAGTGTATCATATCAATAATTTACTTGCTTGCTGGAGATATTTTCACACTTATGAATTATATGGGTTTTGTTCAATGGTTGGCAATCGGTCTTTGTGTTCTGATTGTAGTAATTTTCAGAATTACTCGTCCTAATATTCAACGTCCGGTTAAGGTAAATTAAAATTTCTGAAGTGGGTTTGCGATATTATTCCTTAAGATTATATGATTATAATGAGAGAGTGGTTTTGTGGAGATTGTAGTAATTTAATAATTGAATTGATGAGTCAATTAAAGGTAGTCCACGGTGGAGGTGGCGTAATTTCGTGGATTGGTTGAATTTAGACATTACCACCGTCAGTGGTCCAAAGGTTAAGCATTCGCGCTCGAGACTGATAGGTCCTGGGTCCGAATCTCGTGAGGCGAGATGGTGGATGTGCACTACCGAGGAGTTTCATTCTAATATGAAACGGCCGTCCAGTGTTTCCAGGTTTTCCATGGTGGTCTAGCTTCAATGGACTCATAAATTCAAACAATAAATTATTATATGATTGCATTGAATCTTTATTAATCATGACTAGTTCTAGTTAACTTTTCTTTTGGAAAACTTTATTGAGTTGTACAATGTCAGCATTGGATTGTTATGTTAGCTTTTGCGTCAATTTAAGCACTGCATCATTACTTTTTCTATTCAACCAGTAGTTTTCTGTTGGAAGATTCGTTGTGTACGGTGTTGAAATTAGACATTAGTTTTATGAACTGACATAAAATTAGAAAAATCTTTTTAAAGCTGTTACGTTGATGAAAATTTTGAAGCAAATCATTAAAATCGTTTTAAACCATTGAAAAGATCTTTTCTACTATTGATGTAGTGAACGAGAACACACGTGGGGACAGTCGAATCTAATTTAATGCAACATAACAGAACGTCTTAGTAAAATTTGAGAACCATACAATGAATACTTCATTTGCAAAATGTCAATCAATCTTCATAGACTTCTTTGTTTCTGCATTTTCTTACCAATCGCTTTCTGCTCCCATTCAATTCTCCTCGATCTTCTCGACCTTCAGCTGCCAGACACTCTATTCCTGACTTGAGTTATATATTACTTATATCGATATACGTAGCACACGCCGCGCTACCATCTAATTCAATATTTTCAACTATTACTAATACTACTACTATATCATAGAATTTCTATTCTTTCATTATCTATATTTATTACAGGCTCCTATAATATTCGCCATTATCTACTTAGTAGTTACTGCATCTCTGTTAATTTTCTCTTTTTATGGATCGCCTCAAGAATCATGTAGGTCATTTGTTATAAATTATGTTCTATAAATTCGTATGTTTACTTTCTGAATGTAGGAATAACAGTTCGTTATATTATTCAACTATGAATATGGAGATTGAATTTCACACAACAAACCAAGTAGCCATAATCTCATAAGTGACTAGCTTCGAGTTAGTTAGTAAGTTCTGAGCTACTGAGTTGAAATCACGAGAGACGAGATCATAACTTATCGATGACATTCGCTCAAAATCGTGGTATATAGCTAACGAATACTAATCTTAGTAGAATAACCGAACTAATCTTTTGCTATTCAGTGGTGCGGAAACCGACATTTCTTCACAAGACCAAAATATCGCATGTATTCGATGTTATAGCTTGTTGTAGCCCATCATTGTTGAGATAGTTCAGAACTAAGAAAAATCTAGTTCAGTTTTCCTATGGCTCTTCTTGTCGGTTATTCCTATGTCACTTTATGACTTAAATAATGATCGAAATTGAAGTTATATGGAAAACTATTTGATCTGTACTACTGAAAGTTGAAGTAATCTTCTTATCATTTTAGTTAAATGGAACTGATTTCACGAATGGTTTATTTTCCTAGTATAACAATGATTAGATCTCTCTACTGAATCCTCGATTGTCTTATCTCTTTGTAGTATATGGTATTTTGATCATTTTAACCGGTATACCGGTTTACATACTCGGTTGTGCGTGGAGTCCTAAACCGAAATCATTTCAGGAAAAAATGAGTAAGTAATTTTGTCAAGTCACATTCCATATCACATAATTGAAATATTTTCGAACGTTTTCGGTCTAACTGACCTAACAGTTGTTGGTTTGTTTAGTCAGCTTCGAGTTACACACTTGTTTTATCTGAGGACTAGAGACACTACCTGGTTTCGCAAACGTAAATAAGTGTAACGGGTTTGCATATGCAATCTGATTCACCCATGTATATGTTGGAAAAGTGGTGAATGATTATATTTGGTTTCAGGAGAACTACATCATCTCAGCTATTTAGAATTCTGAATAGCACAGCTAAACCATATAATGCAACTATGTAGATGCGCAAAACTCTTTTAACTCAATACAATTATAAATACTTTAACATTTGAGTAATTGACACTACTATACATTTTATGAATTTAATCAGTTTTGGACAACACTTAGTGAACATGCATACAATCACTTCTATGCCATCAACATTTGAGTTAAACGGAAAGAAATTATGAGGCTTGAGTTAGGTATTAGGTTTGAATAATTCAATCTTCTGATTAGATCTCCAAATCTAAGTATTGATTTCTAATAATTGTTGTTATTTCAGGGATGTATACAAACATCTTATGTGTCAACTACTAATACACATGCCTTAATAAGCTCTAGCCAGTAGTTACTGGACTTCCATTTTCTTTACTGTGAAAATGTTTTTCAGCTGTTATTAAACTAGAAAAGAGTTTCTTTCTCAAGTCAAATGACAATATTCATGCTTTCAATGAATGACACATGATGTTTCTTATTAGGTCATCCATCGGTCAACAGATTGGCAATAATAAAATTTATCAGGACAGTGATAGTGAGGACAATAAGTTTCAATACAATAATCCAATAGTACAATAATATGTCAGATGGGAATTTTTGTGGATAATGTGGTAATTTTAGTAGTTGAGATCATGAGACCAATAGATCCTGAGTTCGAACCTCGCTAAGCGCGATCGTAGATGTGCACTGGTGAGGAGTCTCGCAATAGGACTAGACAGCCGTCTAGTGTTTCTAGGTTTTGCATGGTTGTCTATCTTCAATTGACTCATGATCTCAACTATTGAAACCACTATAATATTCACACAAAGCCCACTTCTGATATTATTCAATATATGCTCACTGGTGACTGACTTCAAGAGGTATTTCCTGGAGTTATAGTTAGAATCAGTGATCAGTGGAGTTCAACTGGGTATGTTGTGAGGTACTGACTCAGTAAAGTCAGCGGTGGATATGTCGCCTAATTTCGTGAATTAGTTGAAGTTACAATAGTTTACAACAAGTAACGGGAATAGTTTTTAATGTAAATATCGATTGTTTTTCAATGCATTACAAATGGAAAGAAATCGAATCTATTATATCTAGTGCTCGGATTCTTAATATACCGCGTATAACTTGAGCATTTGTATGCTAGAACCCTCACAAGTCAACCAGTTCGTAAAGAGGCATGTTACACTACTGACCAACAGTGGCATGCCACGTTGATGTTCTAGAAGGTTCTATTGCATTCTGATTGGATAGTACTCTTCGACTCCTGTAGGACCTCTGGAGGCTCCGTCGTAGTTCTTGGAAGTCGTCCCAACAAAATCTTTATAAAACTTCCATTGATCTTAACAAATTAATGTGTAATTGACCTGATAAAAATTATCATATGAGATAAAATCATTCCAAAGTTTTCATTCAATCTTTTGTTTATTTTTCCAGTAAACATCACGATTGGATTACAAAAACTTTTCCGTATTGTACCATCCAGTTGAAGATGAAAGATAAAGCATAGAATTATTGTGTATTGTTAACATTGTTAAACAGTCATTTTGTTGTGCTACCCGACCACTCACTTATTGTATAAATTCACCGTATGCAAGAAGATAATTTAGCCTGTTCTTTAGCTTTCTGTTTTTTATCGCCTTTTTTGTGAAATGCTACATTCACTTCATTTAAAAACAATGAAGCGATCAACGTTGATAACCGATGTCCGGTTGCTCTTCTTCTTGGACTGCAATAGTTCTGTACATTTTGTCTACTTGTGATTGAAATTTCTTTTTGATCATTCTATTCTTGTTTTGTTTTTTCATTTGAATTTTTATATTTTCAAAATTATTTTCCCAAAATTTTCTTGTGACTTGACTGGTGGTTACGTAATGGAGATTTTTAGGCATTGCTGATTGACGACACAACTTACTTACTTAGTTACGCCTGTTACTCCCAATGGAGCATAGGCTGCCGACCAATATACTACACAAAGTGTATATGATTTGATTCTGTATCCCTCTCTCTCTCTGCTTCTTAATTTTCATGAGATTTAGGTAAACAAAATATATGTAAATTGTATGCAAACAATTGGTTTTCTTTATTCAATCTATGGTTATATGTATGATATTTGTAATGTCTGTGTTATTCTGTTCATGTTATATTTCAATGGAAATGAAGTTGCGACAGAACACGCTATCTTAAGCTATTATTAGTGTAATCACCTGTAATTGTAATATTGCTCTAGTGTGTGTTGTTGGAGTAGTCAACTAGGAATGGTTAATGTTCAGAGTGTTTGATGCAAACAGTTACTTGGCTGACGAACTTGTGAACAGGAGTCACCCAATTTGGCCTAGATGACTAACGAAATAGAAAATCAAAAATTGCTTTAATCACTCATTTCCTGAGATATATATAAAAAAGACTGTAAGTATTAAGATTGGCGGCACGATGATCTATACATCGTCATTTCACTCCGCTTTCTCAGTTTCATGGGAACGCCCACTAGTGCATGAATTAGACCGTTATTGTTCTGCTAGGAGAGAGAGGGAAGAATTAGAGATTGGAAATTAATTGATGTAGAATGTTGTAAATCTAATGACGTGATAGTGATTCGTCAATTAACTTGAGGATTTAGTGTATATTGTCTAAGACGTCGATGACCAAGTCGTTTGAAAAGTTCCAACATTGAATGAAAAGTTTCTAACGTTTACTTCTTAAAGATGTTACTTCTGCTGAGCTACACTGTTTGATTACATGGTGCTGTCACGTAGACAATATAATCACTGCAACCGTGCAACTTATCACAGAGAACATCATACCACCCAGGGGATCTACTCTATCATTAACGCTTTCCATGCTAGATTAGTCCTAATAAAACTTACTGACTTCTATCAAACCTTTTGCAATATTTAATTGCTTGACAGAAGCATCACTCATACTGATTCACAATAAGAATTTAATTAAAGGCTTTCCCCGCTCACGTAAGTTATGGTTGTTTTCAGAATGATTGAGTGAAAGGAAGAGATGAGACTGACAAAAATCAACAAGAAGTTTTAAGCACAGGAATCATATTTAGTGACGTATAGAATATGTTTGGAGCCCTTATAGAGTTCTGTACTTTATCAGGATAATAAGCAGAATTCATTTCATTTAAACAGTTATATGCATGTTAAAATGGTCCACTTCATTGTTTTAGTGCTAAGGAATGCCTTGTGGCATTCGAATCAATAATGAGAGATGCAAAGCTGATTGATTGATTGATTGATCTATGTATAATTGCATTATAGTAAGATTCATTTTATATATTCATTAGTAGATATTTTATAATTTCCTTTATTAATTTATAGTAGACTATAATTCATTATTAAAATGGGCACTTAAATGGATGTTTAGTGGCCCGTGAATCTGACTCCTAATTAGAGCGTACGAATGTTTGCTATCGCTGATTCTCGTATATCATCGTCGACTTAAATCACGTTAGTCAATAACGTAATCTAGATAAGTCAATTAACGAGAATGGCCTTTGAATACATACATTTTGTATGTAAAGTGAATGTAATAGAACAGAGCAAAATGACAAGCAGGGAAGATGGCTGGGAAGCCAACTCCCTCTTTGCCAAGCGTTACTCAATATTTATAGTCAGACAAAATAAAGCTACAGACATGTGATTAATGGAATAAGAAGGGCACACACATATACGCTCATATAAAAACAGTCTAGATTGATAAGCGAATAAATAACAAGGTCAATGTATGAATAGAATGGGATGTCCGAAAGCTCGAATAAGGTATATGGGCTTGGCATAATAACTGACACTACAGATGCAAGATCAAGTAAATGTATGTAGTTGTGACTTATTCATGTACTCAAGCATCTACTCACTTAATATTGCTAATGAATGTTTAGTCAGTTTTACTAATTTATTTATTATTGGTTACATGTGGTGAAGTTTAGACTGACATCTACATTTATGTGTGTGTGTGTGCTACGCATTACAGCATGAAAGTCAACCATAATGTCTATTGAAAAGTGTTTGGTGAATTCGTTTGAACTACTGAAAATCCACATGTTCGAACTCATTTAGCTTGAACCGTCGGTGTTTTTATAGTCTGATTGAGATAATTAAGATGATTTACATGGCAACAATTGATCTATAAGGATCACTGTTAACAATATTCAACTTACCGATTATTTGTTTTGAACTGATTTACTTATCATTTGAATAAAAGTAAAAGTATACCATGCCACAAAGCCACTATGAATATGGTGTTACTACGACTGAGGATTAGTAATATCGATGACATTTTGTCAGTTGTCACAGTGATAGGAATGAGATCAATTAGAAATAAATTTTTCAAACACAGAAAACAGTTTTATCATTATTCGTCATTAACGACGGCATATTGGAAAGTTGGAAAAAATGTTGAGATATGCATTGAAAAATAGAGTTCTCAACAGACTACAGATAAATCGAATACACTAGATATTAGCAAATTGATCGGTAATTTGTTTGATCGAAATCTGAGTGCCTATAAAATTTCATTCCTTAAAATGGGACTTCATTTCAACATAAATGGACGACAATTTTTGCCTTTCAATATTATCACCGGCAATCAAACCAACTCTGAATTACCTTTTTAATGAAACAGTGAATGAATTGAGGAATAAAATAATGGTCACATTATTATATCAAAAATCACATAATTCCAATCTAATTAAAAATGAATTACATCCATTAAAACAACTGAGAAGTGATAAGAAAATTATCATTACGAGAACAGATGAATGAAACATGACAGTGACTATGAACGAATTGGACTGACTGTGCGAAAAAAGCCATGGAATATCTACAAGAGGGTCCGTATGAACTAATTAAAGAAACGAAAAGTCGGACAACGCTTAACAAACGTAAGGCTGAAACCAGTAAAATCTTATAGTCGATAAAGATTAAACTAGAACCGTCATTATGGTTCATATTAAATTCAAAGAGTTTTAACCCTTGTAGATTCTATGGACTTTGAAAGATTCACAAGAATATTACTGCACTAAGACAAATGGTTAATTTTACAAATTTACCGACATACGATCTAGTGAATTATTTAGCTACGATAATTAAACCGTATGACAAATTAATTATTCATGAAATTGAAAACTTTTGGTTACACAAGATCTGACTCCAGTGAGATCGTTTCTGATTTCGATCGAAATATACATATCGTCATTCCTCGTATATAATTATCGACTTAGATCGCGTTAGTGAGTAACGGAATTAAATAAGTCAAATGCGAGAATGGATTTCCCAATACATATTCTTTGTACAATCATTAATCGTAATAGATAATCAGAGAGACGTAGCGAAGGAAGTGAAGAAAAGAGAGCGAAATGACACTCAGTGGAGATGACGTTTAGGCCAACTCCATTTAGTCAACCGTTAATAAGCTACAGACATGTGACGAATGGGATAAGAAGTGTACACATATACGCTTACATAAAAACATCCAACGTTGATAAGTGAATAATTAACAAGGTCAAAATGTGACTCAAGTAGAATGAATAGAATGGGCTGTCCGAAAGATAGAATAAGGTATAAGGGCTTAACATAATAACTGACACTACAAACTCTGGAATTCAAGAATAATATCGAGACCATCCATACAGAAGAGGATGAAAGGATGGCAAGTTTTGACGTATCCTCCTTATTTACTAATACACCTATCAACAGAGCATCGGAAATATATTTATATAGGCTTCCAGGTGCTCCAAAGATATGGTCATTGCGGTTTTCCCCTGTCGCCATTGATAAGTGTACTGATTGAACGCTACACTTTATATCTGTTCGTCACCGATTGTTACGCCGGAATTGCTTATCACTTATATTTGTTAAGCGAGGGACCATTGCAATTCCCACGACGCGAAAGTAAGAACACGAAAACTGATACAAGTGAAGATTTATTAGCCGCAAAACAAAACAACAACAACGACGACGCTCATTTTCACCTTCATGTCATATTTCCCACTTGAGAGGGACTTAAATGCTATTGGTGCGCTGTATCTTTTAGTATGCTATTTTGTAACGCTTCCGAAAGACAAAGTTATGCTGCATAAATACGTTTGATTTGTGCCTATTGTTATTGCCCGTGCTTTTGACTGCTTGTGGAATATATCTCCCTTACCCGAAGTTGAACTTTTCTCTCTAGTTAGCGGGGCTGGGACGCCTCAGAATAGCTAGCTTATCTGTCATTATATCACAGAATGTTTGTTCCGTTCTCAGATTAGGTGAACTTGTCGTCGCTTCAAACATAGCAAACAGTTAGTTGTTTTAGTTCATCACAAAAATGTAGATTTCACATTTATCTGAACAAACATGAATCTTTTATTGTTCAGTATTATTTACAGGAAGAAGTTAAAATAAAATAACTAACTGTTCTTTTACAGTTTTTTTTAATGATTGGGATTATCAGTCAATTGAAACTAGACCACCATGGAAAACATGGAATCACAGGACAGCCGTTTAGTTCTGTTGCGGGACTCCTCAACAGTGCGCATCCATGATGTCGCCCCACGAGATTCGAACCCAGGACCTTTCAGTCTCACACGTGAGCTCTTAACTTCTAGACCACTGAGCCAGCCGGCATCCAACGATGTTAATGTCTAACTTCATCCGACCCAAACGGGTCTATTGTGACGTAGTGACTCACTGAAGACAACTGAGGATGTGTCGCTCAATTTTGTGGATTAGTTGAAGTTAGACACTAACACCATTTGATACTGGCCAGCTCAGTCGTCTAGAGGTTAAGTGATCACGCGCGAGACCAATAGGCCCCTGGGTTCAAATCTCACGAGGTGGGATCGTGGATACGCACTGCTGAGGAGTCTCACAGTAGGACGAAACGGCCGTCCAGTGCTTCCAGGTTTTCCCATAATGGTCTAGCATCAATTGACTCTTGATCTCAACCATTCAAATTACTATAATATTCACAAAAACCCTTCGGATAGTTTTTTTTTTATCAACAATTTTTTGAATAACTTCTACATCTTCATCAAGTTTATCCTGAATTATTGATCTTATCTGAGGTATCATAGAAAA